TCTACTGCTCATCTGCGACGCATCTGAAATGGATGCGATAAGCCACGCCATCGGCATAAACATCTACGAAGTCTGACGAATAGCCATAGATCGATAGAGTAAACCTAATGCAAATAATACTACCCTACTATCGTACTGAAACAACTATCACTACAATCACAGCAATTGTAAACTGGTCTTTGCCATATGTTATGTGCATTTAGATCGTAAAGCCAGAGTGGATCCGAAAATCTCGTTCCACGGCGATGAAACGAAAACTTCCCCAAATCCCTGGACATGTTCGCATCAGCACCTGCGGACCCGCGCGAAACCCTGGACTCAGCACCCTGCATATCCCTAATCGCAATTCCCAGATTTCTGGAAACCGGGAATAACATTTGCCGAAATTGCATTGATGAGGCCTGTATATCCAAAACCATGGACCGGAAGGATTTCCCGAGCGGGGTACACTTACTCTACATCTTAATCTAGCTGTGCCTCAATTTCATAAGGCAATCTCAACCCGAAGTATTAGAACAAAGCCATATTATAGCTGGCCAAGCCATGGCAATATCCATTGTCAACATGACTCGAACGGTCTACCACACACTATATTGATCATCAATTATTATAAAATACACAGTAGTACATACGTTGAAGGATCCACACCACAGCATATCACATCATGTCAGGTAAGCCGATCCCCCGTTATTCACACCCAGCCAGGGATTGATCACTGCTATTTGATGTCTTAGCCCGCGGAAAATTTAAGGAACAACGGCCGTCGAACAAAATTAGTCTGGCTTGAAAGTATCCTGGAATGGAGACTAGAATGGGGAGACCCAGACCGACGATCCTAATAGATTGTTAATTCTGGTACACGGGCGATGCGGTGAAGTTAGCGTGCGATCGGCAGGGGCATCCATTTCCATCACTCACAATGTAGAATCTATGGAGAATAGATTGTTGATACATGAGTCAGTCTTTTGTCTCTGATGTGCGTGTCATTTAATTCAGCGGGGATTATCTCTGTGGGGTGGATGGGACTCATTTTGGAAGGTTTGTGCGACTTGAGCTGGTGAGGAGAGGAGAAGAGGGACCGAACAAGATGTGATGTGACTACAGTTATTCATTGGCTACAAAATGTTTTAATGGGCTTAAGCCAGTATTACTGTCGATATTTTAGGCCAGCATATATAACGGATTTAGTCGCTATCTGAGTGTTACTTTGGGTTTCATCAACTTGCTAAGTTTTATCATAGCAATAATGCCGGTGATGCCATTCACCCAAACTGAACGATTAGTGAAGAGATATATCAACGTAGTGAAGGCTGATTTGGTGCCTAGCTGTGTGTTCAGAGATGTTTTAATTTGTGAAACAATCAGGCTCTATTATGGCGAAGTAGAGAGAGCGATTGATCTGGTGAAGCATCGAAGCACGGCAAGTTGCGGTTACACTCATGCGTTTGCATTCACCACTCGTTTGCTTTCACTGACGTCCCGACTTTCTTCAAATTTCGTTGAAGAGAGATTTCCCTCCCTCTTCTCCCACTTTCATCCTCGTTCTCATTTGGAGCCCTCGTTCATCAACAGTTCAGTCATCGCCTAAAAAGTCACACCGACCTCATACGTTGAACTAAATCAACTGCCAACATGGAGTGCCATGACACCTCACAGATACCTAAATACATGGAATTCCTGGAGGAACAAAGACAGATCTTGAAAGATGCTCAGTCTCGCAAGGGCCAGCCAGCCAAGCCGACAAAGTCCCGCGACGAAATAATTAAGCGGTTTATTCATCACTACTTCGCGGAGACTAGCTCACCTGTAGACAAGAATGCTATTCGCACCTCATTCGTGCCTCCTGCGTACCCACCCTCCATTGCGGCGTTGAGTGATTTGAAGAAGGCCCTCATTAAAGATCTCACCATCGAGACTCATCATCGTGGCTCTTACACTCTGTTGAGAGCAGTCACTCCAGCATTCAGAAAGACGGGGATTATGGCTGTGGTAGAAGATGAGGAAGGAGACGTTCTTACGTTGCAATTGTATAACCAGGATAGGGACCTCGTTACTGATGGGCGGCTCGTTGATGGGACAATCATGCTCATAAAAGAGCCTTTCCTGAAAGTAATGGGTGATGGTGATTATGGACTGCGGGTCGACCATCTTTCTGATATCAGGTTCATCCTGGAGAATGATCCTCTGGTACCCGCGAGCTGGAGGGACGAGTCAGAAGATCGTGGCTCTGCTAACTCCTGGAGGACAACTGGGAATAATCTCTACGAGCTTAAGGAATATCATCTTGCTCTAAAGTGGTACATACTAACCTGAATCTGAGAAGACTAGAAAGCAACGCTAACCAAGGTACAGTTACTCCAAGGCTCTAGATTGTTCTATGAGTCCCAAGGATGAGCTTGCCCCAAGGCTCAACCGTGCTCAGGCGTTCCTCAAAACGAATCAGTTCGACGCGGCCCTGCGTGATGTCGAGCACATCCTATCCAAGGACAAATTCGTTGAGAAAGCATTGTTCCGTAAAGCCCAGGCCCTTTACTATCTTCAGAGATATCAGCAGTCCTGTGATGTTTACGTCGACCTTTGCAAGGCCTATCCACGCAACGCCACTGCTAAAAGCGAGTTTGCTCGAGCCACAGCACGGCTTTTCGAGCAGCGGACTGGCGAATATCCATTTAAGCAAATGCAGCAAGAGGCAACGAAGCTTAAGCCCCCGCATTTCGATCTTGCAACGTACATTGGCCCTGTTGCCGTGAGACCCTCGACCCATGGACGTGGTTTGTTTACAACACAGGCGGTCCGTGCCGGCGACCTCCTCCTATGCGAAAAGGCCTTTGCGCATGCCTTTCATGACGACGGCGATAATACCAACGTTTCGATATTGGTGTACGCCGACACAAACAGTATGAAAGTGGGAACCCAGGCCGAATTGAATAGTCTCATCGCACGAAAGCTGCAAAAGAATCCATCGTTGATTCCAGCATTCAATGACCTGTACCACGGCTCATATACACTGGTGGGCGTCTCTGAGGTCGACGGTTCACCTGTCGTTGATACGTAAGTACTTCCCCTCGCGCAAGCAACATGAGACTAATATTTCCAGTTTCCTGGTTGAGCGAATAATGTCCCTCAATGGTTTCGGCTGCTCGACCACCTCACGTACAGCGCATATAGCCAGGGTTAATGCTGACAACAGGGAACCTCACACCGAGGAGGAACATTTTGATTCCAGTGGAGTCTGGCGTCTCGCATCTTACGTAAATCACTCCTGTTACCCGAACACCCACCGTGCATTCATCGGGGACATGATGGTAGTTCGCGCTACACAGGATCTTCCCGCAGACACGGAGCTCAAATTCTGGTACCGAACACCTGTGGATGATGGTACTGCAGAAGATGTATACCAGAAATATTGGGGATTCCAATGTGACTGCGTTATCTGTAAGGATGTCCGCGAAACCGGAGAAGGCAATCTGGCGAAGCGGAGAGAACTCTTGGCTGCTTCGGACTCGTCCATGAATATCGTAGCTAAGGCCTACGGGTCCTCATTCAGCCTCCAGGAACAGAGTGTTGCAATTACTATGACAGAAGCCGTCATTGTTATGATCGAGAAAACGTATCGGCGATCACCCCTGGAAGTGCCTCGTCTTGGGATCTGTAAAACAGGCTTGTTTTTGGCAGAGGTGCATGCCACCCACGGCCGTTGGCGGAAAGCCATTGGATACGCTATCAGAACGCTGGAGTCACTTGGCTACGTGATTGAAGGTTGGCAAGTCCCGTATAAGGAAGGTAGAAAGTTACAAGTCAAGCGGTGGGGACTGGCAATGGATGTTCTTGTTCGCTGCTGGATAATCCTTTGCCGCGCGTATGGCGAGGTGGCACCCGAGCTTGCTGACCAAGCTGAATACTACGCGAGAACAACGTACAGAATATGCATTGGTGAGGATGAAACATTTGAGGATACCTATAATCGGTCCTCTCACCGAGTCGATGGAATGATTGTGCACGATAGTTGAGTCTGCAAGCCGTCCGCTGCTGGTACAATCGGTACTTTCCGGGCTTGTTCTAGAGGACACGTTTGTACCAGTGCTTTTTGCCATGGCGATAATCAAGTTATGATTTTGAATATGATTGATCCATTGATTGGACATTCGACCATGGATGGCCCACTGTGCAGATGTTAGTTCGGCCATCACTGGCGTTAGTGTGCTACATAAACATGTCGACAGATCGTAAATAATCTAGGGTCAAGCCAGGGTGCCTTCTTGTCGCACCACTCGAGTTCACTCCTCATCATCACCAAGGGCCCAATATAATTGTCAAGTTGTCATATCAGCTATTGTCAGGCCTCATCAAAGCCCGGAAGCCAATAGAAAGTGGACCGGGCATGATGCGGATATTACACGAGTCTCTTAGATGTCACTATGCATGAGGAGACAACCTGGCCTTTTAACGTAACCGGTTTATAGCAGGTGGGAAAGAAAATATATAGCAACGCACAAAAATGAGAAGCTGAAGGACGCTCAACTCGTGGAAATGTATTAGTATATAGGCACTTCACGAGTCTCTCCATCCGGTTGTCTCTCTGGCATTACCGCCTCAGGCATCATTTGATGGCCTTAGGCCGTGGCCATAAAACTACATGGGTTTCTGATACCGATCCTTTTGAAGCATCATTTACCACCTGCTTGTTATTTTTCGGTAACTAGCGAGGTTTCGTACAACCTAATGCTCATTTTAGTGATAGCAATGGTCATCGTCAAGTAAACCCGAGGATAAGCGACCCGGGTGTACTTCACATGAATGCTGATAGAAACCATGTCAGATCGTACAGGGATCACGTACAGGGATCAGAGACTCGCTACTACGCTACGCCAGATGACTCACTACTAACATACACAACGGAAACTAGGTACTAGGCTGGGTCCGCCGTCTGAGAAGCCCGCAAGGGTGACTCAAAGACACGCAAACTGTGCTTTGTCCTCTGTCATCCATCATCCGTCATCCATCATTTAGAGATTCCAACTCCACGAACTACTTAATTACTGTTCTTCCTGTTCCAATTGTCATATTACCTTTCGAGTCAACGAAGGTTTTGAAAAAGAAGAACTATGGCTCTTCCTGTGGATATCGACAGCATTTCTCTGACGCAGCAGCTGAGTTCGCCACCCAAAGCATCATTGCAAATACTCGGGACGCACAGTGTCAACCAAGACAACAACTTCATTGATTTCGATATCTGGGTTGACTGCACGAAAAAATCCGGAATCGCATCGGCCAAGTTCCTGACAGACAGAGAAGCTGAACCTCGCTCTTGGAGCTACTCGGCTGACCACGATAACGACGACCCTAAAGTTATATTGGCCGGATGGCTGGATGACTGGTTAAATCATATCAGTACGGACGATCGAAGGTCAGTTCGGTTGATGACTTGGCCCCAATTGTCGTGTCTTATACTGACAGAACATGTCGGTTTCCAGCTGGACTCTTTGCAAATCAGGTCATTTCACCGATGAAAAATGCACTGCCCTGGAACGTCATCTCGAGCGCCTGGCACGGAAGACTGCCTACGGCGGGACTGTCGAGGTGTTGTTCCATACGCCTTCAATAGAATTCGAAGCAGGAAAGAATGCCTCAAATGAGAACACAAACATTGCAAATATTTATGTGGATTGGACCTTTGAGTGCCCTTTCACACCGATCGATCAGGTATGGAGCGAGCTGGTCATGAACGCGATGGTGGACCATATGAAGGGCTGGATCGAGCCGCATCTACCGAAGCCCTCACACGGGATGTCTCCTTTTCGGAGGGCAATGAGAGCCAACGGTACTTCCGGGATTGTATCGCAAGAGCAGGATGCTAATGAAGTAACGCGCTCGCTACGGCAGTTCTCATCATGGGGTTGTGGCAGCCCAGTGTAAAAAGATCAAAAACTGCAAATTGTCAATTTAGCAATTCGCCCTCATTGCCCTGACATTGAGCTGGCTGTTAATGTTTATATTGTTTATATTGCGCTCTGCGTCTCGTCTCATCAAGAATATTGCATTGCATTAGCCGTCGTGGTCTAGACCCGTCGAGCGTAAATGCCCCATCTGGAACTAGTGTGGCGTCAACTGCACAATTTAATGAATGACCTAATTCCTGCCCGTTTTATTCTATGTGCTCATGTGTGTCTCATTACACGCACATATAATTAGGTTAGCAAATCCTTGTGTCCATGGTTGAGGTCGCGTCCCCACAACCGATGAGATCATAGACTCTGGCGGATAGTATATACGCGCCAGGATGGATAGCGGAACAGGAAACTACCCCTACCTTCAATTGTGCAGTTTCCGACACATCTAATCTTTACATTTCCTCTATTGTATATTTCCCTTCATATCAAATCACCGGTCATGACTGATTATATTGGCCATCCTTTGGGGCTAGTAGGATGGTTTGCCCGAACGATCCAAGCCATCAGCTCGATCATCGTCCTGGGAATTACAGCCTGGGCTGTACAAGAGAACAACAAGACACTCAGCGTTATTTTTTCTCTTGTCATTGTAAGTAGTTGGTCAAGTGATGTATATAATCAGGTCTCGTTCTCACCTTGGTACAGGCTACAACGAGTCTGGTCGTCTTAGCTCTAGCTGTAGGCATTAGCTGCCTCGGACGTCGGGCCAAATGGCACATTATCCCACTACTTGTCACTGACGCAATCATATCCTATCTGTAAGTAGCTATCGAATGATATAGGTAAGGCTTTTCAAGCTAAATGCTTACCACTGCAGATGGCTCACCTCGTTCATCCTGCTCGCTCTGAACTTCAACCGGAGGACCTGTCGCGTGAACCGCTGGATCGGAGAAGTATCTTGCTCCCGAAGCTATACTGCCGAGGCATTTAGTTTTATTGCATTGTAAGTGACTCGGAGAGACCCCGTCAATCTTCATTGCTGACTTGTTACAGTTTCACTACTCTCATGGGCCTATTTTTGGAGACTGCCTACCTTTACTGGGCGAAGCCCGATAACGTCCTGCGAACAGAAAAGAGGCCACACCAAGAACGCCTTTCTGAAAACCTCAATGCGGCTGGACTGACATAAAGGGATGACTTACGAAGCCCTATTATGCAATTTGCATACTGCACCTATTCAGATCGTCTTGTTGTGAGCTGTAACATAAGCCGCCTTATTGTTCCACCTGTCTGTCGTTACCTCAATGTCTGTTCTGACATGCAGAATTCAAGTTGGGTGTACAAATTGCATTGGTGCTGAATTGCCTGTTATTTTCATCTCTAAGTTTCTAACGTCCGTTCCCTGCAAAGATATTATCCGGATGAACTTCAATGAGCTTTGTGTAAGCGGGTAGCTTCATTATATTCGACATAGGGTCTATTTAAGTCGTATATATGTTTAACTGAAACGTTCATTTGTAACAGGATACTTGACTTCATCGCAGAGCCATACGTTGAATGCTAATCAACCACAACCAAGAAGCTCTCTGATTTCCCCTATGGAAGTCCCTTTCTCAGTGTAGATGCTCCTGGAACTCGAAAATACTATAGACATCCCAAGTGGACCGAGATCAACATAGCACAGGTGTTGGCGATTTAAATGGATGTACAAGCCTGACAATTCATTGACTTAGTATGACAATGTAGGGTCAGTCGACCATCAGAATTACCTAGCTTACGCTCTCCATTCCAAGCCTCAATGGTATCGTACAACATTGGCAGGATCCACTGCCTTAGTTTGAGCTCTATATCGCAGGGTCGGTGAGCCCCTCTATAATTAAATTCATCAATTCAGTTGTAGTATGTCTTACCAAAAATCGAATAAACAATATCCCTGGGCTGAGTCAATACGTAGGTCGCATTCTCCACAACAATCTTTGCACCCTTCCCATGTACAGCAGTATTCACCTGCTACCGTACAATCCGAATCTGCCCGCTCTCCTAATGGAAGGCTAGCCGCTGTGACATAACCGGCGAAAGCAGAAATTGCGATGAGGAAGGAAGCTCTCATGATGTAGGAATTTCTTTTCGGGGGTTCAAGTAAACAGAAGATTCTGAGTTCTAAGGCTCCAGGGTATTGCGGCGTGGGGTGTGCACTGAGGGCTAGTTGGATAGGTGACGTTAATGCAGCACTGCCTTCTTATATTCCCTAGTTTACCTGTACTTGTCCAAAAGCGAAAGAAGAAATAATGTTCAGCGGTGTGATCTATGCGCATCTGATCACAAACCCTCAGCCTTTGCTGATCGTTCTTGAGTCTCCACCGTAACTGGGCATTGTGCAGGGGAGGATCATCCAGTTGAGGATAAGCTGTTAAGCCTGAAGGTTATGTAGTTGATGTCTACTGAGAAGACACGGGGATCAGTATCCTCAGCCGCATCAATCGCCGAACTACTATTGCGGGTGGGAACAGTAGATCCCGATGAGAACCAAAGCGGGACCCTTTTCTCTCCAATCAGAGAACACTCTGTACCCGAGTCATCCGGTCCATTAATGAACCAACCCCGATCGTCGACTCTCTCAGAGGTGGAGAATCGGCTTGTCCGGCCATATGTGTAGTTTGATGTCAATTTCAGCTGAATCGATCAGCAGAAAAAGTAAGCCGGATGCAATCCCGGGATTTGGATCTCATCCATATCGCCCAGGATCACCCGGCTTCCGCCTTGGATAGGAAAAGCTTCCATCGACCATGGCTAGACATGATGCAGATCACTTGAGGTTGCCATCACCAGGGACACTAAATCTCCAGAGCGTGCAAGGCCAATCAAAAATATAGGAGAAGCAACCATACTCACCCCGTCTAACCTGACGGTCCATTGTTGTAGGATCGACACAACATATTGTGATACGAGATCACAAGCGAGGATACCTGATCTCACCTTGCATATCACGCAATTCTTCATTCGTTATCTCCTCCCCGATCTCAATAGTTTCTCCGCTCCCGTCAATTCCACTACACGGACTTCCCCCATACCCCACTACGTTGCTTTTTCTAAATTGCTGCGCGTTCTAGTCAGCGGTAAAGAATTCCGTAGGGTATGGGGTATGGGGCACCACACAGATTGCGGTACTCTTTACACAACCACAATTGTCCCATTGACAATCTTTGGCTATTGGTCCATGTATCTGGGTAGCAAAGATAAGCAGATCCCCGAATCTACTGCATTTTTCGAATGATCTATCACAGACAGGGTAGTGTTAGCCCCTCTGGCAGATCCCCTTTGGCAAATCAATCTGCAACTCTATGCACCTGTTTAGTAAAATTGCAGGTCAATACGGGCCTGGGTGGGTGGTTGTCACTGCAGAATGAGAATGCATAACACCTTCGTTTAAGAAGTAAAGGATTTACCCGAGAACCCTGACAAAGCTTCAAAGCTACTACGTTTCTTGTTAAGTATTGTTGTATTGTAACAAGTACCTGCCAACAATCTGGCGGGAAAAATGTGGGCATCAGCTCTTAGCGGGGATAAATACTAGATACAGTAACGGATCACCGTGCTGCATCCATCCAATGTGGACATATGCAATCCATGATCACACAGCCCTACAGATGTAGATCAGTCAGAATTAGTATCTCCTGCTCCGTTATCACAAATGATGAGCTTGGCAACACCGCCAAAACGAATGTAGCATAGATTAGAGTACTATCGCAACATATACATGTCGGACTGATATCTAATAACTTTCTGTATAGCTCACGAAAGAGTTCTCTTTAACCAGCGGCCGAAGGACCGGATTTCAGAGCATACAGTCGATTTGAGCAACGTCTGGCTGGAAATCAAGCTAGCCAGCCACACGACAGTTCCCAATCCCAGCTATGAATTCCATTAAACTAAGCAATAAGCAAGGAGAGGCAGATCCCATGGGTATTCAATTTGACCCACTTCAACCCCGCACGCTTGCCTCATGATTGCAATCGCCCCCTTCACGGGGGATCTGCTATCCACGATACCCAATGAAGGGATCGTCTAGTCCATACCATCCTCTCCAGGCATCACACACAAACAAATTCATTCATTCATTCATTCAATAAGAAAGCATCATTATAGATAGAGCAAGCATAGAGATCCCTAGCAATTCCAGACACATATAAGAATCCCCAAGGAACCCATTAACCTTTCTCCTCCATCGACACATCGCTAATCCTACACACCCATCTCTGTTTGCCGAGGACCATCTCAATCCCCAAGATGAAGTTTCTCAGTCTTCTCGCAATCACCACTGCCATTGGTGCGGCCAGTGCGGCCAGTGTTCCCCTGAGCGACCGCCAAGTTCCCGCTGGAGCATTATTAGGTCTTGCTTCCCAAAGTGGGTAGTTGCTCCCTCATAACCAAACTGACATGAAATAACTGGGTTGTAAAAGGCGATGACTGCACCGACCACACTGGCGAATACTGTTGCACATGGGAGGGTTGTCGATCATGCTGCCCTTGGGAGAAATGTGATCTGAGCATCGACGCTGCCCAGGGCAAGTGCGTGCCTAATTGGTGAGATAATAGTTGAAATGTAAGTCAATTCAGGACTTTTGGCATAATTAAGTCAGGTCGAGATCGCTGATGTTCTGGTTAGGTGGTGGTCGGGATTGGTAGGCCTGGGGTCTCTGTTCTCCGTCATAGTTTTCTTTCATGCTAGGGGTTTTAGACTACCTACAAACCCTACACTATGGGAACGTTGACAATGCTTAGTACGAGATACTATTTGATTAATGACAGAGATATGTTGGACGATATCTTCATCCCTATCCCGGGGCAGAAGGATATATAGAGAATGCCACGTCTTTGCTCGCGGCTTGCATACTATTCTGTAGAAAATAACTCTGGACATGAAAGAACGAAAGATAATTCCAGTTCTCATACGGCAGCTACACAATAAAAGGATCATGGTAAGATCTAGGAAACAACGGTGGCTGTTCACAAGCTTCTGTTTCTTGATGGGGCGAAAATTCTTAGCAAATACTAGTATGATTGGCTGGAGCGTCTAAGAAGAGCAACACTATGCCAGTCTAGGATAAGCGTGGTTAGCTGCCTAACAAATCTATTCTTGGCATCTGCTCGTATATTTTCGAGGATTGCCAAGCATCGGGCCAGATCCCTCCTAATATTCACGATCACCACCAGAATGGGCTTTTATTCGTCTGCCTTGCAGACATGAAACAGGTTGGCTCATCAATTGCATGCCTGCCTGATGGCGAGGCTCTGTGCGAGGCTCTGTAGGGTGCGGAGTGAGGTGTATATAGACCTAGATCGTGCCGCATCTCGGCCAGTAGATCAGACATCGAAAACAATTGAAACTTAGTCAAGACCCTTTACCATGAGTACAACAACAGCTTCAATCGCCTCTGCTACTAGTGCCTTGGCCTCTTCAACCCAAACATGCACCAACCCCAAGCCAGGGAAGAATGGCTACCTGCCTCCAGAAGCGTGTGACAGTATCCTGCTCTATGTTCCCTCTCTAGCTGCCGCAGTATTGTTCTGCGTGCTATACGGCCTAACCCTCATCTGCCACGCGGTACAAGCATATCTCTACAAGAAGGTACATATAAGCCCCTCATACAGACCCTTAATCTCAATCGACTAACAACCACCTCCAGCGCTACGCCTGGGTCATCATGATGGGCGCAACCTGGGAACTAATCGCCTTTATATTCCGTGCTCTCCTCACACGACAACAGAACAACTCGAATTGGGACACCGTCTACACGATCATGTTCCTCCTCGCTCCTCTCTGTCCGTCCCTCTCTCTCCCCTCTCTCCCCTCCCTACCCCACTAACCAACCTCACAGGGATAAACGCCTTCCTCTACATGACCCTCGGCCGACTCATCTACTTCTTCACGCCGGACCAACAACTCGCCGGCATCACCGCCCGACGCTACGGCCGACTCTTCGTCTGGCTCGACATCTTCGCCTTCCTCGTTCAGCTCGGCGGCGCAGCCATCACCACCGAGACGGGTGTACCGACCAGCAGAATCATGCTAGGCGTGCATATCTACATGGGTGGAATTGGATTGCAGGAGTTATTCGTCCTGATCTTCACTGGATTGGTCATCCATCTCCATCGGAAACTCATCCACTATGAACAGGCGGGGATTTTGAGTCCAGGCGGTGTGGTAGGCATGAGCATGAGCAGACATAAGCCCCTCCCGTGGCGGTGGCTATTCTACGTGATGTATTCTGCGCTGGGGATGATTACCGTATGTCTTCCCTCTATCCTTCTACTCTTTCTTAGAGAATTTTACTAATGATCGGACGGTACAGATACGTATCATCTTCCGACTGTGCCAATACGCACAAGGCACGGACCCGAATAACCCCGTCCTGACGCATGAAGCATACGAATATGTCTTTGATGCGGTGCCGATGTTCATTGCGCTGGCGTTGTTGAATGTGGTGCATCCGGGGCGGGTGTTGCAGGGCCCGGAGTCGGAGTTTCCGAGGGTGAGTCGGGCGGAGAAGAAGAGGCTGAAGAGGGAGAAGAAACAGTTGAAGAGGGAGAGGAAGGAGGCGAAGAGAATAGAGAAGGAGATGAGGAAGGGAGGGAAGGGTGGGTGGTGGTGGAAACGGGGGAGGGAGAGTGAGGCGTTCGAGATTATTCCGATGCAGGAGGAGGTAGAGGGGAGGGTGTAGATGATGTGCATCATCTGGTGGTGTTGAAGAGAGGTTTAGATTTGTTTAGAGAGAATGTGAATCCCGATAAAGTATTTTCATGCTAAACAATCGCAATCTATGTACACTACGTAACATATCCACAATCTATATCGTAACGCACACTTGCCTAGCAAAGCATAAATGCAGACATATCCTCAAGTTTTGTAAGCAGGGACCGAAGACATCACAGTCCCTGCCAGCCATACCACCCTTGTCAGTCAAGCCGCATAATTCGCCGCCAAGACCAAAATATCCTCTAAACTCTCCGCACATTCCAACCCATACGACATGGACAGCCTCTCCAATGTCGGCGACGTGACCACTACCGGCGTCTGTACCTGTCCAGTCCTATCACTCGATCCCCGATCCACAGGCGGCCAGCCCTGGCTTCCATCTCGTGAAGCCGTTCGACTCCTCTGCCAGCGGCCCTTCTCGCAGAAACTCCGAATCACTCCCACCAGATCCAAGTCCCGATCTGCATCCTGCTCCGGTGAGGGTAAATGTTTCGGACTACTACGGTCGCGCTCTTTCGCTAGCAATGCCTCGAGCAGATGCACTCCGCGTCGGGCGATCATGTTTGATTCGCTGTGCGAGAGGATTTCCAAACCGTCGTTGATGAGTTGGCGGTGGTAGGTTGTTTCCGGGTCGGAGGTGGTGCGGTGGAAGAGGTCAAGACATAATATTATCTGTTATTTTATTAGCCAATGATGAAGTGACTTCGGGGTAGTAAGTGGAAGCGTACGCTAGCAGCAACACTAAAAGCCTGGTGAATCCAAAGCACCGGTCCGCCGTCATGGATCGCCTCTTTCTGCTCTTTGATGATTGTTCGGGCGGCGGCAACGCACGTGCGACGTGTTCTGGCAAATACAGGATTTGTGAAGCTTAGCTCGAGGAACTTCCGATGTATCATGATGATTTTATGCGACGAGCTGATCGCCAAGCTACGTCTTGCCCAGAGGACATATTTTGGCCACTCCGGATGCTCTTCGACAGGAACATTCCTGAGGTAAAGTGGGAGACCCTGGGTAGCTAAACTGCGCAATCGACGATCATGTTCCAGAACCTGTTCGTAACGTGTATACAACGTATTCGACGCAGCCATGCTGTCCTGCAATGAAGGCATAAGAGCTGCAACCTGGTAAAAGAACCTGGAGTAGCCCGCGACACTTGGTTCATCATCAGGCAGCTTCAGCATATCTTCGTCGCGACAGTTCCGAGGACGTGCAGTATTCAAGCAAGATCGTGGGATGAGGTAGCTTTCGGAGAAGGGGATGGAGAACCAGTCCTGGATGCAGAGCTGGCACCATGCACGACGGCCGATTTCGCGGTCAATCATGACAGGAGTGGGTGCCGTTTCTCTTTCCGAGCCGAGACGGTGTAGGCCCAGCCCTTGGGCGATGCGGGTAGCGGCTGCAAGTAGCACGGAAAGACTGTTAGAGAAGCCGAGGAGATGAGCAGACATGGTAAGAGTGGCAATGGCCTGGACGGCGTAGAGCGAGTGGACAGCGGTAAAGTCGGCATGGTGTAGACAGGTCGAGACAGCTTTGAACCACCTCTGTGCTAGAGTAGTCTGCTCCCATTCAGAAAAGCCCCATGCCTGAGCGGTCATGCGAGGAGCGCAAGCGAGGGCGCCGGTAAGGACAGAGAAGAGAAGCGCGACCCATTGCAGGTCGACGCGGGGATGGGCGATGTGACCATTGGCGAGCCGGAAGAAATCGTCCAGTTCTTCTTGAAAACGGACAGAGTGAAAAGAGCCGTGATACCAAAGCACGCAGTCGCAATGGTAGGAGACAAGCTGCTGCATGAGCTCGCGATCTGGGAGGAGGAGCTGGAGATAGGCTAGTGCGGAGGCAACCTCGGGGTTCCGCTCATCGCCGCTTCCTTCGGCCGTCACGTCGCCAGGGGAATGATGCTCGACACCATCTCTGCGAGCTAGCATATCGTGATAGTCCGGGTTCTTCCGTCGGCCCCAGGCAAGGAACTCGAGTATGGTGGCGGCGTCCGCCATCTCACGTTCGGGGGTCTCCACCGTCTCGGAGACAGGAGTATTGCTGGCATTGTGGATGATCTCAGATTTGGGTAGAGGACTAGGTTGAAATTGTGGATCAGTGGCCTCCTTCAGAGCAGCTTCAAGCTCCTGAACACGGGCCTGTAATCGGTCCACCTCATCATCGGTACCTCTGGCGCGAGAGCAGGTGATGCCTCTGTCGGAGTTAGCCGATGTCAGGAACAGATTGGGGGAAGCTTACCTCCTGGTGCAATTGCGACATGGGACAACCTTGTCGCAGCGTATTTTGCGCCGGGTGCACTCCACACAGGCCAGGCGTCGACGGATGGAGCTCATGATGGGGAGAAAAGTGGTTTGTTGTTCGGCCGGGTTGGGGTTGGACCAGCCAGTGATTGATAAGGCGGGGAAGCGGCCGACATCGCAGTTCCCCGCTGATAAGCTCGGCCGAGCTGACGGTCTTAGCTTCATTCCTTATAACTATACCCTGAACATCAACACCATCATAGTATCATCAAGTTGAATGCAATTTTCAAGCTACAAAAAATGGCAACAAGATACGTTGATCGTCCCATCCCCCGCATCTCCCTGCGCGACTTCGACCACCGCATCGACGAAATCACCGCTGAGCTCGTCCACGCCGCCGAGAACGTGGGCTTCTTCACCCTAGTGGACCATGGCATTTCCATCTCCGAAATCGAGAACATGTTCTCCACTGCAGAGCGCTTCTTCTCCCTCCCGGACGACATCAAAGCGACTGTCCCGTGGAACGCCAACAACGTAGGATGGGAGAAGAAAGCCCAAGTACGGCCCTCGACGGGCCAGCCCGACACTAAGGAATCTTATCAGTTGCAGTTTGGCGAAAACATGACCGACCTGTGGATGAGCGACGCGCATCTTCCTGGCTTCAAGGATACATCTCTCACATTTATGCATCGCGTACAGGAAGTCTCCGAGCGATTAATGATCTGCTTCGCGCGGGGCCTCGGTTTCTCTGATGACTTCTTCATCAAGTGTCATGATGTCTCACGACCAAACGAACAAACTACCATGCGACTATTACATTACTACGCTCTACCAGACCAACCCGACGGGAAGACCTACCATCGGGCTGGAGCCCACGCAGACTGGGACTTCCTGACCCTCCTATTCCAAAAGGAAGGCCAAAGCGGACTGGAGATCTGCCCCGGACGAGAAGTGGTAACAGAGTTCGGAATAGGGGATGAATGGACGCGAGTGGAGGCACATACCGGCGATATAGTGTGTAATATTGGGGACTTGCTGATGTCATGGTCGGATGATCGATTCAAGTCGACGTTTCATCGCGTCAAGGCGCCATCCGAGCCAGGTGATTATTTCGGCGATCGATATAGTATCGCCTACTTCAATCAGCCGTGCAAGGATGCGTTGATCCAGGGGCCGAAGAAGAAGTATCCGCTTGTTACCGGGGAACAGTTCAATGCGAATGCGATGAAGCGGAATTTTGCGGCGTTGCAGGAGAAGTTGAAGATGATGGAGCAGGCTGCTTGATTGATTTTACCTATTAGTGGGATAGCTAGGATAAGCAAGGAGAATTATGAGCGCGTGTTTAAACATTATAACTTGATTATTATATTTGCTATTTGTAAACATTGACAGATGGTTACTAACAGATTAAAGTAGTCAATAAGTGGACCTCAACTATGGCAGCACCGTATCAACCTTCTCATCCTCCTTCAACACCAGATTCAGCACCACACCCACCACTGCGGCAATGATAAACGGCGTCTCAACAATTAGATTGATCCCCTGCTCAAACCCCTGCAAATGCACATTTGGCCCGCTATACGCCAACACGGAACTGAACCAGCTGGGGGAGACAATATCCATCATGCCGATTCCCAGCGACGCAGTAAGAATGAATCTATTGCGTCGAGTGAATTCCACCAAGCCGAGGACGCGCACACCAGCCACCACAATCGTGCTGTACAGGAATACCTGCATTCCTCCGAGGACAGAAGGGGGCATGGATCCAAAGACAGCGCCGAATTTGCCAAAAATGCCCATTAGTAGGAGGAATGCGGAAGCGCACCATCCCGCTCGTCGACTCTATAGTTATATAATCAGCATCTGAAGAGGGTAAAACAGGAGAGGAGAGAATACGTACAGCACACCCAGTCAAGGAAATAACCCCATTATTGCCCGCCTGACTAACCATCGGCAGCCCAGTGCCCAGCGCACTAATCAGACTCCCCAGTCCATCACATAAGATCCCACCCTGGATACGGCTGTGGAACTCCCGTCCCTCGATATCGACACGGGAAATCTCCGCTGTGGCCAGAATATCCGGCATGCAGCTGACAGCCTCGCAGACGAACATGATAAGCAGCGGGAGAACGAGTGCCCCGTCAACAGACAGTGGGAAGGTATGCACCCATAGAAAGGTACCCACTGGCGCAGCGTCAATCTCGTCGCGAGACCAGTAGCCTGTTGCCCCGGAGATGGCGCATCCCACTGCTAATCCTAGGATGACTGAGGCGGATTTCATTAGTGGGGAGCCGACGAATTCGACGAAGATGATGGTCGCGAAAACGCTGAAGCCGAGGCCGATCAGTTTGGGGTCGCCCCTGGGATTGTTAGCATTGAACATGACATGGGTGGGTAGGGACATACCATGGCAGTGGTCTCGGAGCATCCACATTAGGACAAAGGGCATAATATCCTGTCCCACCATCACAGTTTGAACTCCCTCCCCAGTTCTCCATGCCACTCGAGATAAGGTATACGCCAACCAAGAGCAGAAGGCTTCCTGTGACTACTTTGGGAAAGATGCGATTTAGCACCTTTGGCGGCACCAGTGACATGAGAATCTGGATCCAGACCGTACATAGGCAGGTACCCAGGACTGCGCCCCATGCTTCAGGGCAGGGGAGACGAGAGCCATTCTCGTCAGTCGGACACGAGCCGTTGTTGTATCTGGTGTCGGCGTAGTTCATGGCAACAGCGATGACATCGAACGTTGGTCCGACCACAGAGAGCAGTCCTGTACCAATCCATAATGGTGTTTTGAACAGGTGCACCCTTGTTACCTGCAGAGCTGTGGCAATGCCGGTGGTGATAAATGCCGCAGAGACGAGATACTGCGACTGTTCAGAGTTTAGGTAGAAGGCGCCGCTTGCGAGGGCCAAAGGAGGAGAGACCACGGAGCCGATCATGGTCAAGGCATGTTGGAGACCGAGGATTATAGTTAGTAAAATGGGGACCTCATCGTTGAGGCCATAGAAAGGCGGTTCGACACCTTGGTAGCGCTTGTTGAGGGGGTAGATATTGGGGGTAACCAGGTACATGTAGTCCTGTATACATTAATAGGGCTACCGAGAAGAGTAAGTGAACACCTACATAGTCACCAATCCAGCCATCCCTGCTAGTAAGATAGTGCTTCCAGTATCCCCACTTGGATGAAGCGTGCAGAACTTCCCCAGTTGTGGGGGACGGGGACTCTTCAGTGGAGATAGGGCTTGACTTGGACTCCATAGCGGGATCCGATGAAAAGAATAGTGGTCCCATTCCCATCACAAGCAGACCTAGCTCATCTTGTATAGTATTCTTAATATCACCGTTATCGGTGATATCAGATAACGATAAGCCGTGGATGCACGCATTGACATCGGCAATGGCTGGACCCTCGGCCGAGGACTGCTTATCGAGATCGACAGGATTCCCACATCCACATCCCCACCAGAGCTACAAGAGCTTCCTCAACTCTTCATTCTGCCTTCTCAAGGCACCATTCACAGTCAAGATGACTTCGAATCCTCCCAAAGGAACATTATTCACCCACGCCACGATCATAACCGTCAACCCCGACCGCAACATAATCCGCAATGGCTACATCCTCGTCCGTGACACCCGCATCGCCGCCATCGGGGTATCTCCCGTCCCCGCAGACCTTCTCACCCCAGACACAACAACCATCGACTGCACCGGCAAGATCATCCTCCCAGGACTGATCAACATCCACGCACATCTAGTACAGTCCCTTCTCCGCGGACTAGCCGAAGATCTTCCCCTCCACAACTGGCTCTGCGATGCAATCTGGCCCCTCGAAGCATCCTACGCAGATAAAGACGGCTACCATGCTGCGCGGCTCACCATTGCGGAGATGCTCAAGACGGGGACGACATGTTTCTTGGACCCAATGGTGACCTACCGAGCGGGATGGGAGAGTGTCTGTGATGCTGTCGGGGAGATGGGAATTAGGGGCTGCCTGGTAGACATATCTATCCCCTCTACTTCTCTCCCATCCCAGATCAATATTTACTAACATGTGATAATGCAGGGCAAACTCATCAAGTTCCCCGAAACCAACCGCCAACTATCCATCACCGACCCACGCGACCAAGACCTCCTCGCCATGTCCATTCCCGGGCTCCTCTCTGCTCACGAAGCCCACCACGGCACGCATAATAACCGACTGCACGTCTGGGCTGCAGCAGGGACTCCCCGAGGTGCACCGGCCTCACTATACCGCGAGCTGGGAGAAACCTGCGCAAGGCATAGCATCTCACTCACCATGCACTGCGCTGAGGCACCCAAAGACCTAGAGATCTACCACGATGTATATGGTTGCAGCGCGATGGAATTCATTCGCGATACGGAGCTCTGTCCCAAGGTCCAAGATAAGCAGGGCAAAAGCCATAACCTCGTGCTAGCACATATGGTCAACCTTGATCTTGAAACCGATTTACCTCTGATTAGTGCAACGCACACGTCCGTCGCACATAACCCGAGCTCGAATCTGAAATTAGCGTCTGGGGTGGCGCCGGTACCGGCCATGCTGGGGCATGAACAAGGGATAAATGTGGGGTTAGGCACAGACGGCGCGCCGTGCTCGAATCACTACGATATGTTCCAGGAGATGCATCTGGCTGCGATTCTGCATAAGGGGGTATGTCAGGATGCGAGGGTAGTTGAGGCGGAGGCGGTGCTGGAGATGGCTACAATTAATGGGGCACGGGCGCTGGGGCTGGAAGATGAGATTGGGAGCTTGGAGGTGGGGAAGAAGGCGGATTTGGTTGTTCTGGATCCGTATGGCAAGGGTGGGATGGGGGCTGCGCCGTGGCATTGGGAGGACGAGGACGGGGCGAGTGTCATCACGACGGTGGTTCATGGGTGTACGGGGAGGGATGTGGATTTGACCATGGTTGATGGGGAGATATTGGTTGTTGATGGAAAGTTGGTTGAGGGACTGGAGGGGGAGATTATTTCGCTGGCCCAGGAAGCTAGTCGGGGGGTTAGAGAGAGGTGTAGAAGCAAGCAGTCAGGTCTATGATATACTGGGTTCTATATTTGAAGTGATATATCAAGAAAGATTACTCTTCACTTATGTGGACCTTCATGGAAGAAGACCACCTGCACAGTCACATCATCTCTTACCCGCCGGGAAGCCGGAAAGCTAAAAGCAAGCCGACCAGCTATCATCTCATGATGATTCCCTCCAAGAGAATTGCGCACCAAATGCACAGCTGCATTCTCATCCTGAACGGCAGTCCGTCCCTCGACAAATCGCCAATCCACTCCATTCCAAAACCGGCTAAAATCAAATCGTCCAGGAGACTTCATCCCGGGCCTGCTGCTCTTGTCATCTCCCTCCAACCACTTCCCCACCAAATCGACGGCCTGCTGACTAGACATCATATCCCACAGTCCATCCGTCGCCATAATCAGAAACGCCGGCTCTCCACCTCCTATTCTAGTGCTGGTAACCACCGGCTCCGCCGTCAAATAGGGCGGCGTGTGAACCGGATATCTCGGCGTCAGCAGCGCCGGACCATAGAACCTTTTCTGCACATCCTCCTGAAACTCCAACGGCCATTTCCACTGACAATCCCCGAAAGCGCGCGAGACCGCAAGACCCAGCACGCGGCCACCCTTGACCACGTCGTCTTCCCCTGGGTGTTCCGCCCGAAGTCTGGCAATCTCATCTTCATTCTTGCCAGTCTGGTCCACAGACAGAGGGATGGCTTCCCATTTCCCATCAGCTCCTTTTCGAGCCAGCACCGCACGTGAATCACCAGTACATGCGACATGCAGCATGCGCGATGCAGGATCATACAGCGAGAGCAAAGCACAAGAGCCTGCATACGCAGGAGCAAGTCTCTTTACCTTTTCTGCCAACGACATCTCACTCTCCGGCAACTCCATCGCACCCTTGACAATAGAGTCATCCAGACTCACAAACCCATCCATAATGGCACAATGGACTGCCTCCTCACTTACATCACCTCCAGTAGAACTCAGCAACCCCAATCTATACCGCACAAACCCCAACAACCTCTCCCTCAACACCTCAGCCATCTGACCTCCCAAATGTCCATCAAACACCCCCCACGCCATCCACGGCCCCTGAGTGGCATCACCCCACGGCGCCGCAAACTTCCCATGCACGAACCGGTCCTCGCACGGGTCATTCGAACCCACCTGCACGCCATCATATCTGCTCACGCCGGGGACATTCCTCACGGGAAAAGAGTACGCATCTCGCGATATAAGCCGCGTTACTTCATCTTCTTCCGAGAGACCTGTCTCCGCGAACCAGTGATCTGCTGATGGTGGGTGGTGAAGACATGGAGCATCATTGGCTGTGTTTGTATTGGTTGTTGTATTGCCATTTGTGGGGCTGGTAGGCGTATTACTAGTGTCTGTGTTGGTATTAAACCACCATACTGCAGGCGCACCAAGTGCACTAGCTAATGCAATCCTGCGTGGCTTATTGGACGGTGTGTATGATGCGCCTTTAGTCGAGTAGTAGGAATGGGAATGTCTAGGGTGGTTCTGGTTCCGTGGGACTAAGCCTTGGTGACGGATTGGTGATGTTGTGGGCACGCGTAGTAGACGCGTTCGCGCCCCACCCAATGAGGTGAACATGGGCGGCACTAGGCTGGTGGTAGTGTAGATTAGATGGTTGGTGGCTGTTGATGGAGCGACAAAGGTAAGATTAAAGATTAGCATAGTGTCAATTGAGAAATGATTATATACGCCACATACCTGCTGGATTTATGTGTCGGTCATTAACAAATCAGGTAGTTATCATCAGGTACAATGGCTGAGTCGTGGACTCTGCGTGTCGGGGGTTACATTCCAGGGATGGTCACGTGCTACTTTGCTTGCTTTGTCGTCTATTTTTAGGTTTCGAGAGGATAGTGAATGGTAGTATTAGATGAGAGGTATCAGTCTCTGCAAAGCAAGATAAACAAGCACTTGCATACAACATATTACTACGGAACTACGCCTCTCTATTAGCCGGTCTGTTCATGCTGCCATTGTTCTCGTTCCCGTATCCTCAGTCCATTACCTCTGGTCTTGCAAACAATTTATCGCATCACTCACTCCTAGGGTATCCATCCAATAAGCACACACATTACATACACCTTACTGTCCTTTGCCTTGATCTTCCCTCTCGCCTTATGCTGTCGCCTCCTGGGATTTGGGAGCGGTCTCAGAGGTCTCTGCGTGGCGGGTTTCAATCTTGGACTCTATATCCACTTGACCGTGCTCCAACTGCTCCACCTGCCGGGTCTTCATCTTGGTCTTCCAGGCTGGTGTGCCAATGTACTTGATGCCGTTGGGATCCTCGAACATGGCTTCAGTCTCTTCGAGCGTCTTTCCTGCAGTCTCCGGGAACAGGAACAGCACGTGCAAGAACATGGCAGTGTTGAACACCCCAAACATGATGTAGGTCTTCCAGCGGATGTTCTCAAATGCAGTGGGTGTAAACAGCCCCAATGCAGTGTTAAACGCCCAGTTACCTGAGGTCGACAAAGCCACTCCCTTACCACGCAGCCGCAGCGGATACAACTCAGGGGGGTACGTCCAGGATACAGGACCCCAGGTAGGCGCATACGACGCGACGAAGAGGTATGTGCAAGCAATCAAACCTTTGGCAGGAGCGCCGTGAAGACGCATGGACTCAGCTGCAACCCCATTGATGCCCCCGGGCACCACAACACCATGAACTGCCATGATCGCACCATTGGCATACATCAAGATGGCCATCAGAGCTGCGCCAACCAGCAATGGCATGCGACGACCCCACTTGTCCATCCAGATCAGTGCCGGGAGGGTCATAAACACATTGATAATATACTGAATGGAGGAGGCAAGGAGGGTGGAATCGCCGGTGTATCCAGCCATAGAAAAGAGATACGTGATGTAGTACACTGTCAAAAGTAAACATCTCGTTAGCGCACAGTTCTAATAACCGACTAGACGGGGAAACGAAGACGTACTCATCACATTCATGCCGGTCAGCTGAGACCAGATCTGCATGAAAAGACCGATCAACGTGCGATTGATCATCCTCGGCTTGAACAGGTCAAGGTAAGTGACATCTTTGAACTGACGTTCAAGCTCACACATATCCCGAATGTCCTGCAACTCTAGCGCAACGAAAGGATGGTTGAGATCCCCCTTGGCGTGGACGAGAGCCAAGACCCGATGGCACTCCTCCCAACGATCCTTGCGCGCCAGCCAAC